GCGCCTCTGTGACCACTTTAAGCTTTTGGACCGCTTGGAACATGGGGTTGTCTCAACTCGGCTATTCCACGCTTGCTCCACAGTTCAGAGAAAATCGGTATGATTAGATTGCGCTTTAATAAACCTTTAAAATTTATAACTTTACTGCACTAAATAATTCAACTGAATAATACCTCAGGCATGGTCAGAGAGTCTATTAGTATTTAAATAGTACATGAAAATAAAGAACTCAAACTTTTTATATTGCAAGTACATCACATGAAAATATAGGACTCAAACTTTTTATATTTTGGGTAAAATACATTTTTAATCTTCAAAATATGCCTATAATGTCTATTTGGTCCTCAATATTCTAATATTGTCTATTTCGTCCTTAAAATTCTTAATTTGAATCTATATGGTCCAACCTCAAACATAAAAAAAAAAGTCGTTTACTCTTCTAGTCATACGCCAATTACGTGGGACTAAATAGATAAAAACCAAATAGAATAAAATTACAAATCACATGATTGGCACATGACTATAATTGTCATGATTTTTTTATAGACGTTTGGAATTGGATCACGTAAATACAAATTAGGAAATTTATGGACCAAATAGACACAGTTGAAAGATTATGGACCAAATAGACACAACACGCATACTTTGGGACAAAAAATATATTTTACCCATTTATTTTCATACTATGTTCATTGCTGATTTATTTATATTCTAAGAGTAACATGTGCCTAAAGGCACGGTGCAATATGATGGTTTTGTAGACATAGATAACACACCAGTGAAAGTGGTTTCTCTTGGACCCATTAATTAGGATTATAATCTCTAACTTTATGACTGTGATATTAATTTACCCTAAAAGAAAAACCCTCTTTGGCACACCTTCGACGAATAAGCACCTTCTTAACACTAATAAAAAGGTTATGTCCTTTATAATATTTTGGAGCTTAATTGGAATGACTTTCTGTGCATGGGTTGGACATCTTTTAATCAGAAGAGGGAAAAAAAAAAAGCTAAATAAAAGGACAGATCTTGTGTAAGGCTGTGTTGGAATCTAACTAGAATTCAACCAACAAGAGAAAAAGAAGATAAGGACTGGATAAAAAAGGTGGTACGTATATGCTGATCACAATAATGTAGGAAGTATAAAGCTGATGGTTTCTTTTAGGCTTGCTCATTTGAGGTCATGGTATATATTATTTATCGACTCAAAAGAAAGTAATACATTGCGGTTGCAACGTTACGTAATGAGAAATCAATACCTTGTTGTGCAGGATTTTGCAAAATAGTATCAACGATTATGACGATAATAACTTGAACGATTCATGTTGACTCGTAAATATCTCAAACGATTCGATCGAGACATAAAATCGTGATAACAGTAACACCGAATATAGACTGATACCAAAATGGAAGGTATGAAGTTGGTCATGATCCAGACTAAGTTACTCTCGGTATCGATCTGNGTAACATGTGCCTAAAGGCACGGTGCAATATGATGGTTTTGTAGACATAGATAACACACCAGTGAAAGTGGTTTCTCTAGGACCCATTAATTAGGATTATAATCTCTAACTTTATGACTGTGATATTAATTTACCCTAAAAGAAAAACCCTCTTTGGCACACCTTAGACGAATAAGCTTTGGCACACCTTCGACGAATAAGCACCTTCTTAACACTAATAAAAAGGTTATGTCCTTTATAATATTTTGGAGCTTAATTGGAATGACTTTCTGTGCATGGGTTGGACATCTTTTAATCAGAAGAGGGAAAAAAAAAAAGCTAAATAAAAGGACAGATCTTGTGTAAGGCTGTGTTGGAATCTAACTAGAATTCAACCAACAAGAGAAAAAGAAGATAAGGACTGGATAAAAAAGGTGGTACGTATATGCTGATCACAATAATGTAGGAAGTATAAAGCTGATGGTTTCTTTTAGGCTTGCTCATTTGAGGTCATGGTATATATTATTTATCGACTCAAAAGAAAGTAATACATTGCGGTTGCAACGTTACGTAATGAGAAATCAATACCTTGTTGTGCAGGATTTTGCAAAATAGTATCAACGATTATGATGATAATAACTTGAACGATTCATGTTGACTCGTAAATATCTCAAACGATTCGATCGAGACATAAAATCGTGATAACAGTAACACCGAATATAGACTGATATCAAAATGGAAGGTATGAAGTTGGTCATGATCCAGACTAAGTTACTCTCGGTATCGATCCGTATTTCAAACCCAATATGTATGAGGTGTATATTTGACCCTACGAGCTGCGAGGGGNGTGCTGACGCAAAAAGTCGAAGCAAAAACATATTTTTTTTGTTGTGATAGTATTTTATTCAGCGAGCCATATCAGTGCACGAAGCTCGATCCCGCCACTTTAGAGTTTGGGGAGGTATTCAACCTTACCCAAATATCTAATGTGAGCTCTTCACGTCTAAGTGGCAATAAAATAATTTTATTTTTCAGATTTTATTTTCCAAAAAAAGAAAACCTAAGCAGACTTGGACTTACCAAAGATATGAAGAGGAAAAGTGACAGAAAGAAGAGCATTTTGCATACTGTATCAAAAGTGCCAGAAATGGATTTCCAAGCTAAGCTCGCCGTGCTTGGTGCAGCCACGAACAAGAAGAAAACAGGCCTGAGTGTCGCCGGAATTCGACTACTACCCGATAAACGTTGATAAAGTGTAATAAAAACCACCAAGTAGTGAGTAGCACCCAATGTAAATATGCAAACAGAGCTCTCTTTCCACCCCATCTGAGCTGCAGCCCAGGCTCCGACCAAGTTTCCGACCACCGAAAGCTGGCTGCTAGGATTCGCCACCATTGATAGGAACTGTTTCTCAGTGGTGAACCACTGTCCATAGATTTTGACATCAAGAATGATTACCGGAAGTATGAAAATCCACCATAGAATTGGGTAGGAAACAGTGTTGGGAACGTTGGATGGCGCGGATTGAAGCAAGAGAAGCCATGAAATCCATGGAGTAAACAGATAGTTCACTCCAACATGGTGCAAAAACTCTGATTTCACCAAATGAAATTGAAAAATGCACCGCATAAAGTAGAGAAGAGAGAGAAGAATGAGAGTGCATAGAGCAATCCACCATACAAGAAGAAAAGCTGTTGAAGGGACCATACGAAGTATGTGTTGAAGAGCCTGTGNGAGAGTGCATAGAGCAATCCACCATACAAGAAGAAAAGCTGTTGAAGGGACCATACGAAGTATGTGTTGAAGAGCCTGTGAATCAGCTGTATGAGCGCTCAATGTCTTCCATAGCAAAGCTTGAGCAGCAAGAGAGAGGCTTATTCTGAAGTAACCCGCATGTAGCCTAGTTAAAATGGAGGGTGGTGGAGGACTGGCCAATTTAGCTTGGTGGCCATTTTGTTCTTCATTAGTGATCATTGAAGAATCGATGATGACCTTGATGGGTGGTTCATAAATAGCATCCGCCATTCAAAGGAAGTATAAGTGGTTGGAGGGAACTTGATTGAGACAATATACGTTTACATATCAATATCTATATTAATAGAGAGGCTTATATAGGGAGTTAGGGTGACAAGAGCGACATAAAATTTGCATCATTAAATTGGGTTTGCAAGTTGCAGCTGGAAATTGGATGTGGAAGCCATCAATTACAAGGCAAACCACCCAAAGTTTTTTTTAAATGGTTTTCCCTTTTTTAGTCCATAAAACCCTCTCTCATCTGTTCTGTTGCTAGACTTATTGCCAAATGAGGTAAATGAGTAGTGGAGACCATCAAGGGAGGTGGTCCGGTTGGTCAAATTGGATACCGATGAAACTTCTCACTTTAAAATTGAAGGTTTAAATTTTAGAGTTCACATTAGAGTTCGGCGGTTGACGATTATACTAGCTTAGTTAGATTGTTGTCTAGAGGAGTAACGAGTGCAATCAAAAGTTTCATGATCCCATCACTAAAGACCTATCGAAATGGTCTCTATATGCTCTCTTTTGTCCTTCCTCTTTTTTTTAGTAGCAAAAAAAAAAAGGAAAAAAAAAGTACTAGATAATTAAATATTTAACCCCTCCAAAGTGATGCAACAAGTATATCGCGTAAAAGATTACATGACAGATCATCGAAACTGTTGAGTATCAATTAGGGTGGATTGCAATGGCAATACTATTATAAAAAACGATATTTAGATCACTTTATGGTAACTTCTCTCTTTTTATTCTCTTATTTTACGTTATTTTTGTAATATAACGCATTTTGCTTAGTTTTTCTAGTATTTTTTGTTGTTGGTTAAGAAATCACGTGTTGAGCCATACAAGTTTCTAACATGGCATGCGACTAGAGTACTTAAACTTCATTTGATGATTTAATATTCATTCACTTCATGAAATCTTGAAAACTTTTAAGGGAGTAGAGAACTCGTTAGATTTATAATCTATCATATAAATGTCGATGGCTTCCTTTCTGCTAGTGCGTTGCTGATCAATGGCTTGTCTTATCAGTGGCTTTTGTGACTTCGAACTAATGGCTGATCAGCTAGCAAAGCAAAAGTCTGACTTTATACAAATTGAACCCAATTATCTTTAATGGAACGGGAAGTTTTTCGGACATTTCTTTTGGGTAAGACTGCTCATGTACTTCTTGTCTTTCTATCTCCATTTTTAGCACAGGACCCAATCTTTGTCTCATAAGAAACTCCTTCTCATCAAGCATTGCATTAAGGTCATGTAGTTTTCGAGTTTCATACATTGTTGCTTGCTCATTTCCTTGGTCCTTCGCAAGAATGGTTCGGATCTCGTACAACTTATCTTTATGGACTTTGATTCTTTTATCTATTTTGCCAAAGGTGGTAATGTTCTAACTTTTCGGCGCCTCTGTGACTACTTTAAGCTTTTGGACCGCTTGGAACATGGGGTTGTCTCAACTCGGCTATTCCACGNTGTGGTAATGTTCTAACTTTTCAGCGCCTCTGTGACCACTTTAAGCTTTTGGACCGCTTGGAACATGGGGTTGTCTCAACTCGGCTATTCCACGCTTGCTCCACAGTTCAGAGAAAATCGGTATGATTAGATTGCGCTTTAATAAACCTTTAAAATTTATAACTTTACTGCACTAAATAATTCAACTGAATAATACCTCAGGCATGGTCGTAGAGTCTATTAGTATTTAAATAGTACATGAAAATAAAGAACTCAAACTTTTTATATTGCAAGTACATCACATGAAAATATAGGACTNTTTATAACTTTACTGCACTAAATAATTCAACTGAATAATACCTCAGGCATGGTCAGAGAGTCTATTAGTATTTAAATAGTACATGAAAATAAAGAACTCAAACTTTTTATATTGCAAGTACATCACATGAAAATATAGGACTCAAACTTTTTATATTTTGGGTAAAATACATTTTTAATCTTCAAAATATGCCTATAATGTCTATTTGGTCCTTAATATTCTAATATTGTCTATTTCGTCCTTAAAATTCTTAATTTGAATCTATATGGTCCAACCTCAAACATAAAAAAAAAAGTCGTTTACTCTTCTAGTCATACGCCAATTACGTGGGACTAAATAGATAAAAACCAAATAGAATAAAATTACAAATCACATGATTGGCACATGACTATAATTGTCATGATTTTTTTATAGACGTTTGGAATTGGATCACGTAAATACAAATTAGGAAATTTATGGACCAAATAGACANTACTCTTCTAGTCATACGCCAATTACGTGGGACTAAATAAATAAAAACCAAATAGAATAAAATTACAAATCACATGATTGGCACATGACTATAATTGTCATGATTTTTTTATGAACGTTTGGAATTGGATCACGTAAATACAAATTAGGAAATTTATGGACCAAATAGACACAGTTGAAAGATTATGGACCAAATAGACACAACACGCATACTTTGGGACAAAAAATATATTTTACCCATTTATTTTCATACTATATTCATTGCTGATTTATTTATATTCTAAGAGTAACATGTGCCTAAAGGCACGGTGCAATATGATGGTTTTGTAGACATAGATAACACACCAGTGAAAGTGGTTTCTCTAGGACCCATTAATTAGGATTATAATCTCTAACTTTATGACTGTGATATTAATTTACCCNATTCATTGCTGATTTATTTATATTCTAAGAGTAACATGTGCCTAAAGGCACGGTGCAATATGATAGTTTTGTAGACATAGATAACACACCAGTGAAAGTGGTTTTTCTTGGACCCATTAATTAGGATTATAATCTCTAACTTTATGACTGTGATATTAATTTACCCTAAAAGAAAAACCCTCTTTGGCACACCTTCGACGAATAAGCACCTTCTTAACACTAATAAAAAGGTTATGTCCTTTATAATATTTTGGAGCTTAATTGGAATGACTTTCTGTGNAGACGAATAAGCTTTGGCACACCTTCGACGAATAAGCACCTTCTTAACACTAATAAAAAGGTTATGTCCTTTATAATATTTTGGAGCTTAATTGGAATGACTTTCTGTGCATGGGTTGGACATCTTTTAATCAGAAGAGGGAAAAAAAAAAAGCTAAATAAAAGGACAGATCTTGTGTAAGGCTGTGTTGGAATCTAACTAGAATTCAACCAACAAGAGAAAAAGAAGATAAGGACTGGATAAAAAAGGTGGTACGTATATGCTGATCACAATAATGTAGGAAGTATAAAGCTGATGGTTTCTTTTAGGCTTGCTCATTTGAGGTCATGGTATATATTATTTATCGACTCAAAAGAAAGTAATACATTGCGGTTGCAACGTTACGTAATGAGAAATCAATACCTTGTTGTGCAGGATTTTGCAAAATAGTATCAACGATTATGACGATAATAACTTGAACGATTCATGTTGACTCGTAAATATCTCAAACGATTCGATCGAGACATAAAATCGTGATAACAGTAACACCGAATATAGACTGATACCAAAATGGAAGGTATGAAGTTGGTCATGATCCAGACTAAGTTACTCTCGGTATCGATCCGTATTTCAAACCCAATATGTATGAGGTGTATATTTGACCCTACGAGCTGCGAGGGGCCGCTAAAAGAAGATCCTATAAATCCAGTCAAGAGGACGTGTTCTCTTTGAGGTTCATGCGCGTGCAATAGTGTTAAAAGATGCACAAAGTTACCTTAATGGTTGACAGTTGCATTCGAGAAAGTTTGTCTTACTGTAATCCCATGCATAACCGAGAAAGTTTGTCTTGCAAAATAAGGAAAAGAGAAGTTCTCCTTATTTTAAGGTTTAATGGACTGATTTCATTGAGCCAAAAGAAGAAAAGAATGTGATGGTTCACAAAAGACAAACACAAAATCAAGGAAAATATTGAATAGATTTAAAAAAATGACTTGATGAATCACTATCATTAAATAGATAGTGAGCTCAATAAATACTAAAACCGACAGTTAAATCAATGACAAATATAACAGTCACATCATCAAGTCATATTTGTAAGTTTGTGTAGCATTACTCTAAAATCAAATACAAAAATTCTAATTATTTACCCAACATCAACGGCAAAACATAGACATCCCTGGAGATTTTAATGAAAATATTCTACCCTATATTACATTTAGCTTCTTGAGGTTTAAATGGACACTTGCATGTAAAGTATATTAGAACTTAGTATCAATCTTATAGTTTCGTTGAAGTCACATAATTAGGTCAAAATTACGTTACTCTTACAGATAAGATAATTTACCCTTCTATAGGTAGGAATGTCAGTGGACCAAAACGGGGGCGGGAGATGTAGTCTCCATCCCCGTACCCACTTAAAAAAATTTCGTCCATCCCCGGTCTACCCCTGTTAGCGGGTATAATTTTGATCCTCATCCCTATCCGCGGGTAAATTTCTAATCCTCGCCCTCGCCCCCACTTCCCCCATACCCGCCCAAACTCAAGCTCAAGCCCAAGCCTTTTATAAATGATATTTAGTGCAATTTAGGAAATAGGCATAACGAAAGAGCAATTTTGACAAAATAGGAAATCATCTAATCATATGCAGATATTCATCCCTCTAAATAGAAAATCATAGTAAGTCCTTTTATAGATGATATTTTAGATGTTCAATAATTTTCTGATACCTACATGAAATGTTTAAATATCACCACTAGCTTCTAAAATGTTTGATAACGTCACAATCAACCAAAGCCATGAGAAATGGGAGAAAGGAGAGTACAGAGACAACATGTCTGAGAGAAAAAGTCTAAAGAAAGGAATTGGAGAAGTGGAATCTACAAAGCAAGCCAAAGGATTAGATACCTCAACCTTTTTTTGTCCCCATTATATTTATTTAAACTATAATTGTATGTCTTTTGTCGAAGATCTATGTCACTGTGTGTCGAAGAGAGAGAGAGAGATGGAGGCTACTGAAGGTTGAGTGANGAGATGGAGGCTACTAAAGGTTGAGTGACGTAGAGCAGAATAAATTAGGGTTTAAGAGTATAT